AGTTCACAGAAGGAAAAAAAATGAAGAAATTGTATTTCGCGAGAGAGGGATGGAGTGGGAACTCTAGCGGGTTATTCAGGTCTTCTCTGGTTGAGTTCAGACCTCCTGCACCAGCCAGCACTGCCCTACACCTCCTTCCTGCCTGGTTGGGGTTTTGGGAAGAGGGTCAGCTGGGAACAAGGAAAGAGAGGGAAGGCTTTATGGTGTCGGCCAGTGGTTCTCAACCTGAGATCTGGAACCAGAAGCCTTAGGGTCACCCAGGACTCATTAGAAGAAAATACCCTGGGGCTGGCTCCATGTTTGAACAAGCCCTCCAGGTGGTGCCGATGACTGATAGAGCTTCCAGTGAAATGCCGCCCTGGAGTCTACCTTTGGACTCCACCTCTGGACTCCGTAATTTACCAGAATCCCAGGGAATGTCAGTTTCTTTGAGGGAAGGGATAGACTAAGCACAGACCAGGCCCGGGGGCTCGAAAATGCACCTGATGGCACTTCTGAGGGGAGCACAAGGTGGGACCCTCACGGGCAAGAAGTCCCAGACTGCGTCTCAGTGATACAAACGCTGAACTGTAATTCTCTCCTCCCAACCCTGGAGGAAGGCCATCTTCCAGGAGTGGGGGCCCAACTGCAGACCCTGGATGGGTGGTGGGGGGAGGCCATCCTCCAGCACGGGGGCCCTCACACCACCGGGAAGAGAGGGTCCTGGGAGCAGACTTCCCAGTGACAGTTATCCTACCTGCCCATCTCAGCCGCGATCTTCAGAACACTTTTCCCCCGATTCCAGAAAGGCTTTCTCACTGCCAGTTAGTTCTGCCCACTCCAGCCTAGGGCAGGAAACTGGTGGATGGTTTGCCCTTGATTCAGAGGTAATCATTGGTAATTGCCTCGTGGTTGGAGAGTGAGTAAATGTCTCAGATCATAAAAGCTGGCGGGAGAGGGTGAGTTCTCGCTGGGAGGGGAGGAGAGGGGAGGGTGGGGGAGCTGGCTTAGGAGGCAGGAGCCCACGTGGTGGCTCAGACACCTGGGCTCCCTTTTTTTTGAAAGCGCCTTGCTCCTATTAAGCAGGAATCCCTCTATGGGAGATGGCCCCGCAGGGCAGGAAGGGTGCTCACCCCTCCCCGTGCCCCTGAGCTTGGGGAGCAAATGGGAAGGACGTGGTCTGGTTACAACTAGATCCATCGTGAAGGACCTGGGTGTTGCCCCTTGGCCTGGGAGACTTTCAGGAGAAGCTCAGCCCTCACAAAAGGCAGAGCCTTCTTTCCCTGCCCCTCCCCTGGCCATGCTCTGGTTAGGAGGGCAATGCCTGGCTCTTCCTTAAGATGCAGAGTTCCCGTACCCCCAGCTTTGCTCTCTCTTTTTCAAAAACTGACTTACTGGGTGCAAACGGTCAGTGTCTACAGCCTCCAAACACGCCTGACTTGCAGCAAATCCACCAGCAGCTCCAGGACCCTGACTGCTGTCGCTGGGTTCTGCGTATGTGAGCATTTGACCCAAGTTTCCAGGGTGCCTTTGCTAAGTCAGTAAGAACATGCTGTCGCGGGGTTAACGCCCAAGGAAGGAAGCTGTTCACACTGTGGTTCCTTTGGGTCCGTTTCGGATGAGGAAGAGCTGGATTTCTTCAGATGAAACTGGACCCAGAAGAAGTCGTCTCCTGCTGCTTCTCTGAGATCACTTTGTCTCTGGTGTCAGTCCTCTTCCGCAGCAATCCACCCACTTCTCTGCTTGCCAGCAGTCGTGTGTTCTTTCGTTCCTGTCAGCTATTCCCAAGTCCGGCTGAAAGGAGTGTACGTGTCTGAGGTCTGTGCAAACCTGGCTGAAGCCTGTTCTGAAGGAACTCTGTTTGCACCCCTAAAATTCCCGAAGAACTTCAGCCTCTGACAGTCCTTCCCGGCATCTCCGCGAAGGGAGCTCTCCACGCCTCACTTGTTTCTCAGAATGTTGATTTTAAACCACGCTGAAATCGCAGTTACTCTTTGTCAAGGAACTTTCCGAGTCAACACTGCAACATTAAAATCCCAACATCTCTCCCTACTACCACCAAAGGCCTTTTGCACTATTTCCGCCTTGAATCAGGGCCATTAACAGAAAACCCAGTGGTCCAGCCAGAAAGAGCCTGGGAGCCAGGCCCCAGGAGGGAGAGGCTGGGCTCCAGGCCAGGAACTGCCAGGACAGGTAACAAACACCCTCAGACTCCCCTCACCTGTGAGACACAGGCTGAACCACCTCCCTTCTGACCTTGAAGTGTTAATTTTCTAGTTTTTCTTCAAGTCGTTTTTATGGCTAATGAATAGTGGAAAGATTTCTGGAATGTCTCCTGTGGACGTTTCTTCATCGTGGTGTGGATTTACGTGTGACGAAAGCTGTATTTCAAGTTGATTTAGGTTCTTCTAAAAATCAAGTGAAGGGCTACCTTCCACCTATTTCAGAAAGTGCACTGACACCAGACCTGCGGGTCATGACAGAGCTTTCTAGAACAGCTGGGCTTCCTTCTACGTCGTGGCAATGGTAGTGGACTGTTGAGATGCCAGGAAAAGATGTTCTGAAAGGTCCGACCTCAGCATCTCCTGGCAGCACGCTCTGCCTCCCAAAACATCTTTTAGAATTCTGGGCCATCCTCACTGCACAAATATTTTTGGAAACTTCTGCACAGTTAGATGCTGAGATCAGTCATGCGCCTCCAGCAGGATGGAGGGGGCTCCGGGCACAAATTACTGTCAGGTGTCCAAAACGTTCATCTCGCTGTCCTTAAATGCAAGATGTCTGTCCTTCCTTCCTTCCTTCCCTCCTTCCTTCTTCCTTCCTTTCGCCTTCTTTTCAGCAGTTTGTAATTCTGTGTTCACCTGGCAGGTGGCCCTCCTATCACCCAGCTCCCTAACCTCGTTAATATTCCATGGACTCAGCTCTCTCTCCCATCCTTGTGTGTGTGTGTGTGTGTGTATGTCTATTTCCCTATGTCAATATTGGTGCCTTGAGCTCTCTGGACGCGCTAAAAGCAGATGAAGGAAACGCATGAGAGGTGCCTTTTCCTAAGAATGTGTGTGGAGAGTTATCAGGTCAGGGGGCGGGAACTGCGCCCCTCAGCTCGGAGGTCTCTGAGACCCCTCCCACCTGTTCCTGCGGCCAGCGAGCAAGGCTGTCTCATCCTGTGGCTCCTGGAAGTCCTCTCCTCACTCTCTTCTGCCTGCAAACTCCCGTGCGTCCTTTAAAATGCAGGTAAAGCGTCCTGCCTAGGGCGGCTGTTGGGGGCCCGTCCAGAGCCTTGGTTCTGGTCATTCCACCCCGTCTCATCTCTCTTTCACGTGTACAACTAAGCATAGAGTGTGAGCTTCCTACGGGCAGGTACTGCGACGTGTATTTCTGAATCTCAGTATCTGCTGAGTTCAGTGCAGGTCTCCTGAAAAGGCCCAGGGCCGCGGCTTGCAGGCTCCTATGGGCAATCAGGCTCTGGTCCAGTAGGCCAGTTCCGGTATCAGGGCTCTGCGCTGACATCCAATTTGCAAACCACTAGAATCAAAGCGAAGCAGTCGGGCCTGCCCTTCCAGATTCTGCGTCACGTCACACGGAGGAAGCCCTGGGGTGTGTCATCTGCAGGGAGGTAGGAGGCTGCAGGGGCCACCCGTGGATGTCCTGGGGCAGCACTGTGACTGCGAGAGTCTGGCCCCGCCTGCCCTGCTCCTACCCCCACCCCTGCCATATTCCAGTTTTTTAATAATGCTTAGATTTCTTTACCTAATCATCTTTCAATGAACAGACTCACAGACAAAGAAAACAAACTTATGGCTACCAAAGGGGACGGGGCGGGGATAAATTGTGAGCTTGAGATTTACAGACACAAACTACTACGTATAAAATAGATAGTGGGGGAGGTTGGGAATGGATAGACAGGGTTTCAAAACTGTAGAATAGATAAACAAGATTATACTGTAAAGCACAGGGAAATATACACAAGATCTTATAGTAGCTCACAGAGAAAAAAATGTGACAATGAATATATATATGTTCATGTATAGCTGAAGGATTGTGCTCTACACTGGAATTTGACACAACATTGTAAAATGATTATAAATCAATAAAAAATGTTAAAAAAATAAAAAATAGATAAACAACAAGGTCCCACTGTACAGCCAAGGGAACTCTATTCAATACCTTGTAATAACCTATAAGGAAAAGAATATGAAAAAGAATATATGTATGTATAAAATAGATAAACAAGTTTATACTGTATAGCACAGGGAACTATATTCGATATCTTATAGTAGCTCATGATGAAAAAGAATATGAAAATGAATATGTTATGTTCATGCATGACTGAAGCAATGTGCTGTACCCCAGAAATTGACACAACATTGTAAATCGACTATACTTCAATTAAAAAAAAAGAGAAAAACAGGAAAAAAATCCCACCCTACAGCACCCCATGTCTGTCCTCCCCCCGGGTCCAGAGCGCCCATGGGTGGGACTGGAGGAGCACGGGCCGGGCTTGTCCCCGGGTAAGGAAGCCATGGCTCACAGGGCCTCCTGGGCAGGTCTGCTGTGAAGACAAGCTGACTCCTGCCTGGCTCCTGCCACAGGGCCCGAGGCCAAGTTAGCCCTGAGGAAGGGACATTCCAGAGGGGGAGGAATACCCGGAGCCCAGCCAGATGGATACCAGGCTGGGGTGGGGACCCGGACCACCCTCTGCCCTACGTGGAGCAGAGCCTGGGACTTGGGGGGCAGGACCCCCCAGGTGGGACAGGACAGCAGAAATGTGGCAGGAGGGCATCATCCCCCAGGTGGAGGCAGCTTGCCAGCTGGCAGGGGACCCAGGGTAACTTCACAGCAAAGCCTCCACCTCCTGGAAGGGTCTGCCTCCTTTCATCACCCTCGTGCTAAGCAGACACGTGCTCCAGTAAGGGAAATAACCTCCTAAACTGCAAAATGAATGATTTCCTCCTCTCTGCACCTGGAGGGTCCAGGGCCGATCTCAGCAGATGGACAGGAGAGGGTTAAGCTAAGTGTCAGCCTGCTTGAGTCCCTGCAGTGTCACAGCCCCGTAACTGAGAGTCCCCAGCAGGCCAGTCCTCAGTAGACACTGCTCTGAATGTCTGCGAGCCACCTGCCAGCGGACGTATCAGGGCGGTGCCTTTTGAAGTCATCTGACTGCTCATCTCTGGGGAATGCGTCATCTATTAGGTGGCGAGTTGATGCCGGTGTCTAACACAGCACTCTGGATGGGCTCACCCAGGCCAGCGGGAGTTCTCAGCCCTGGCAGCCGGAGGGGAGCGTGGGGTGCGCACATCTCCTTGAGTCAGCTTGTGTCCCCTCAGCAGAGGGGTCCACACAAGCGGAAAGACGCACCAAAGACTCCCCTGCAGAGCAGCGAAACGAAGGATCCTCTCCGGTGGGATTTAACAGCTTCAAAGCTAGAGACAGGAGGCGGCAGTCCTAGCTGTGTGCACTTAGGAACTGTCGGTGACAAAAGTGTGCTGAGCTGTGTCAGGAGGTGGCACACTAAATAGCAAACCAGCCTCAGGTGAGATGTCCCGGGAACAGTATGCAGGGTTTTATTTTAATTATTCCCAAGTTCCATTTCATCATTTACCAAGCGTTCACCGGTTTGGCCCTGAACCTGTGGCTTGTTAAATAAATCCTCACCAAATGTGAAGGACGGGGCAGGGCAGGCGAGAAGGAAGGTGAATCAACCCAAAAGAATTCCAAGTGGGCCTCTTGGGGCTCATGTGTTCACATTAATATCATCACTTTAGCTATTCAGACTCATTCATTTCAGTCAATAAAACCGGTCCAATAAACAACAAGGACCTACTGCATAGCACAGGGAAATAAATTCAATTTCATAACATATAACAGAAAAGAATCTGAAAAAATACATATATGTACCTAAAAAGCAAAATAAATAAAGCTGATCCTAAAGCTAAGGCAGACTCACACCCAGTCTATCCTAAACTGCAGGCAAAATTAAAGGGCAGAGCGTAACTTCCCTTTAATTTATCTTTGAATTAAAGTTTTAAAATGTAACTTTAAAATTTAAACACAAGTGGCACCTGTAGAAAGAGGATTATCAAAGATCCATGCTGCCACACTGGGAGCAAGTTTTTAAAGAAAACTGAGTATAACGCGTGACATTTCTTTCTCATTCTTTTCAAGCGCAGCTTAATAGCCCTGGTCTCTTATTCCTGGCTTGAGTTAGAATCTTTTTTCCCTACTCGCCCAGAATTCTGATCTTTGAAATGAGACATTTGTGAACGGCCCTGGAACTTAGAGCTATGTTGATGTTAAAGGCTCAGATGACATCCTTGTGACAACAGCTGGTTTGGAGGGGTGGGAGCAAGAAGAAGCTGTACTGAGCAGGAAATTGCTGTTTGCTGAGTGAGTCATCCTCGCCATGCCACTAAGATACGAAACGCTCAGGCCACCTCCTCCAGAGCTTAAAGTCCAGTGTGACTGGGAGGGAGGCGGTCAGCCCGGTAAAGATGAAGTGCCAGTGAGAGCTGCTCAGGGTTAAGCTATGCAAAGAGTATCCCACCATATTCAAAAGAGTTGAAAGCAGAGTCTCAAAGAAATATTTGCCCTTGCATGTTTACAGCAGCATAATTCACACCAGCCGAGAGGCGGAAGCAACCAAAGTACTCATCAGTGAAGGAACAGAGAAACAAAGTATGGTATATGTGAGCAATGGACTGTTACTCAGTCTTAAAAAGGAAGGGAGTCCTGTCACGCGCTCCAGCACGGGTGAGCCCTGAGGACGTCATGCCCAAGAAATAAGCCAGTCACAAAAGACAGATGCTGAATGATGCCACTCATATGAGGTCCCTAGGGTGGCCCCATTTATAGACACAGAGTGTAGATGGTGGGTGCACAGGCTGGGGGAGGGGAGGGGGAGTTGTTTGATGAGTAGAGAGTTTCAGTTTTGCAAGATAGAAGCACTGTGGAGGTCAGTTGTCAACAACGTGAATACCCTTACCACCAATCATGGTTACACTTGGACACCCAGGTGGCGACAATGTATCTCTGTGGAGGAAGTTATGGGGACAGAAGGACGGCACTGAGCCCCACCTGGGGGTCTGTGATTTTACAGGTCAAGTTGCCTGGGCCACAGCGGGGTAGGGGCAGATACTTGGTTAATCACTGTTCTGGGTGTTTTGTGAGGGTGGTTGTGGATACCACCAGCTCATCAATCTGTAGACCCAGTAAAGTGGACAGCCCTCCCTCACAGGGGACGGAGGGGAAGCTTCCATCCAATCAAGTGAAGGTCTGAATAGAACAAAAAGGCTGACCTCCCCCCACCCGCCGCCCCTCACGTAGGAGAGAATTCCTTCCATCTGGTGCCTTCAAGCCCCGGCATCAATTTTTTTCCTGCTTTTGGACTGGAATGGAAGCCTGGGCTCTCCTGGGTGTCTCGCGTGCCCACTCACCCTGCAGATTTTGGGACCCCTCGGTCTCCATAATCACACGAGATATTTCCTTATAATAAATCCCTTGAGATACATTTCTCTGGAGAACACTGACTGCCCGAGACAGGGTCCTAGGAAGACTTCCTGGAGGGGATGCCGTCTGACCAGAGCCTCGACAGACAGGCAAGACGTGGCCGGTTGGCCAACATGAACAGGGCACAGAGGCCCCCGTGCCACGCCAAGGCCTGATCAGGGCTTGGCACACATTTCAGGATTACTCGAGCCAGGGATGGGGCGGAGGAGCTGCGGCCAGGCCAGGGAGAACCTTGTGTGCCTGTAGGTTAGCGTCTGCCGCTCAGGCGTGCAGCCAGCAGTGTGTAAGGGGCGCCTCGCAGACTCACAGGAGCTGGCACACGAGGCTGAGCTGGGAGGGGCTGGCCGGTCCCAGGCTGAACAAGTTTATACGTTTCTTTCCCGCAGGATTTTTCAGAGCCTTTCAAGGAGCCAGTGTCCAGCACAGATCTTCAGGAGAGGATGTATTTTAACCCAGATCCCTCCCCCGTCTACCTCTGATTCCTCTTATGATGGGGAAGGATGCCAGTTTCCACAGAGTGCTGCAGGGACCCCGGAGCCCAGGGAAAGGGCCAAGGTGGGAAACAGCCCGGGCTGGCTCTGATTGGTGGGTGGCTTTGGCTCAAGTGTAGACATCTACCAGGGCTCATTCAGAAGGCGTAGGAGATCCTCTGCCAGGACCCCTGAGGTCCCATTAGGTCCCCAGGTGCAAGGGAGGATCATGGCTCCATCACAGGCATCAGGCAGCTTGTGGAAGGACCGGAAGTTGTAGTTTGACTTTCAGTTATTCAGAAGCCACTTGACATCAAAGGCATATTTCATGACCCTTGACAAGTAGAAGGATCGGCCTGTTACAGAAGAGATGGTGGGACAGAGAGAGGAAGGACTTGGGGAGCCCACGGTGAGCCCGCCGCTCCCTGCGGCTGGAAGGTGTTTATCTGCACGTCCGGCCCCTCCGGGGAGAAGGGCTACTTCCTCTGCGTTTTGTCACCGGGGCTCTTCCACAGTGGAGGCCGTGTGGTGCCACCTGCCTCTGTCAAAGTGCTCTGGGCTCTTGGAAACCGAGTCCTCTAGTGCCGTAGGAAAGAGAGAAATTCCCAGCCTTCTGAAAGGTGATATGCTGTCTGTCTTAGCCGCTGACCGCCATCCCAGCCCCGCCTTGAAAAAGTCAGCATTCACTTTTGATGCATAAAAGTCACTATCGAAGTTACCTTAACCAAGAGTCAGTGTTCCATAATTCAAGTCAAAAGTAAACAAACCCGAATGAAAAACACATGGCCAAGAATGGAAACAGTGTGTCTATTAAAATACCTTGGCCAGTTTGCTTTATCGCTCCTTCCAGGCATCCTGCTCCCTTCTGCTCTGCGCCGGGGCCCTCTTGGCCCTTCCCCTAGCCGGCAGTCACCAAAGGCAGCCTTTGATGTGGGGGGAACCAGTGAACCGCCCCCCACAACAAGGCCTTCTGCCAAATTACAGGAAGAGGCTGGGAGCCCAGCACAGCACAGAGAGGCTGAGACAAAGCAGAAGGGGCCTCAGGCTGTGGTGTTTCTCCTTATTTCGGGGCACGGAAGGGAGTTAGAACGCACACACAAACACGGGGACCTGGACACCAGACACAGTGGTGCTGGAGGAGATGCTGGGCCAGCGGGGTTCTAGGCTCCTCTGAGACCCTGCTCACAGGGCCTGCTCCCTCGTGGGTGAATGGCCAACGGTGCTTTGTTTTGCTTTTGTGTTTTCCTTTTCCTTTTTCTGGGAAGACTCGCATTTCTAGAGCTGATAAGAAGGAAACCATTTATTGCATTGGCTCCCGCCTAAAGGATCGCACTGAGCCGCCTGCAGAGAGAGAAGTGTCTGGGGGCTCCTAGGAGGAGGTAAGGACCCGGGCAAAGGGAAATCCCACACAGATTTCCGGCAGTGTCTCGAACGCTGACACCATCACAAACTAGGAAGTCCATGTTTCCGTCCCAGCCACTTCCCACGGCCCCACGTGCAGTGCAGACACACTGTCGTGTTGAGACAGGAGACAATTCTTGTCTCTATTATGTGAGATGCTTTCTGTTCTTTTTTATTTCATCTGTCCCCTAGTCAATTTCATCTTATTGTTAAACATGTGCAGGTCTCCATCCACTAGGTGGATTTTGTGGCTCCCTAAGAACTATGAAACGGACCCCAAGTTGGAAAAGCTTGAGTTTAGGGGAGATTCAGGCAAAGAAGAACTTCTGGCAAGTTCACGTTCCTTACGCACATGGGGAGAGAATGCAGAGAAGCCAAGCACCCGATTCAGGAAAACGTCTCAAAGGTCAACAGTCTGTTGGAGAAAGAAGGACACCGGACTTTAACATGGTGGCCAGGGTAAGGGCCACATCCCAGATGTCCCTTATGAGAAACTAGACTTCTGGCTTCTTATCCTTGTGAAAGGAATAAAAATGTCTGCAAGAAGCTTATGGGGTGGGGAGGCAGGAGGGAGGGGTGTGATTTTCTTGAGGGAGAGCCTGACCTAGTGCACCAACAAGTGCAAAGGCCCTGGGGCAGGGTGGGTCTTGGCACCTTGGGGAGGAGCAGAGTGACTGGAGCTTCCTGGATGGAGGGGAGAAAGCAAGGAGATGAGGTCCGGTTTTGAGGACCGGATCGTGGAGGGCCCTGCAGGTTATGAAGTGTCAGGCTTTATTCTGACTTGGGAAGGGATTGGGGAATTTTGAGCAGAAGAGAGGTGGGTCTAATATCAGTTGGAATATGACATCAAAATTTAAAGAGACTTATAGTAAAATCAAGCTCATTTTGGCCTCTGGGGCTGCCCGGCTGCTCCTGCCTGAGGCTGGCTCGGATTTGCTGAGCTCCCCAGGAAAGAGACATGCAACCTCAAAGGCAGAAGCAGCTCTGGGCGGGTGCCAGGACTCCCTGAGCTCATCCACAGGGGCTGGAGGGCATGCGCCTTGCTTATCTTGGTGGTGAAGGACTTAACCGTCCTTCTGTCCAAAGTACATTATTTGCATGGTGTAGAACCTGCCACTGTGAATTCTGACTTGCAGAGAATTATGTTTTAATTAGAAGATGCTCACTTCACCCTCCTTGCTACCCTGAGAGTTTTCCGACAGTATTTTCCACATGGAACTGTGGTCGTGAATATTTCTCCCCTCACTTGGAGGGCTGCTCATGTTGGTGAATTTGATGCCAGCAAGTGTGCCAACAACCTGTTCATAGGATTTTTGCATTTTTCAACTTGCAGGAGGCGAGAGAGAGAGAGGTGCCTAAAGGGAGTTTCTCTCATGCACTTTCAGCATCTCTTTGCTGTCTGGGTGCTACACACACCTTGTTATTTTCTCGGGGAGCCTAACTGATTGGAAAGTCTTGTTGTCCTCTGTCTTGATTTAGGGGTTGGAAGGCATAACATCTGGTCTATAATTCAGTGTAATTAGTATCTCCATTCCTTCCCCATCCCCCATCACATACACACCTCCCCCCCCACCATACAACACCCACTACACCCTCACATACAACACACATACCTACATCCAACACACACACCCACATACACACACACCACACCTCCGCACGCCACACACACACATTCACACCCACTGACTGTGGTGAATGAGAACTTCCAAGCCAGAGAATTTACTCCCTGGGGATACATTACTATCACATGTTAGTATTACTCGCCCAATAAAAATTCATTAAAAACACTATTACGATCATGAACCATGACCTTGTGTACCAAAGGGCGGGGAGTGAGTACCCAACCCGTTTCCAGGCCGGTAGTGCAGGAGGGAAAAGTACTGGCCACAAGGAAAACCTCCAGCCCCTTCCTTTGGATCTTAGCACTTCTCAGCCTGATTAAACCCCACGACCCGGCTCAGGAAGCGCTTCTGAGGCAGCTGCTGTGGGAAGGCCCTGCTGGCTCCTGGGGCTGTGACTAGGGGGCTGACGCCCGCCCCAGGCTTTGAGAGGGTGCTGGAAATGAGGGGAGAGTTAAACAAGCGCAGTGAAGGGCACATGGAAAGCCCTCAGTCCCCTTGCGGTGAGCTGTCCCTGGTCCCCCTCTGGTGGTCCCAGGGTGGCACTGCCCAGGCCCACATCCCTGCTGTCCGGGCCGCCTGAGCCCCTTCACTCCTCACCAACGCGAATGAAGAATGTTGCCTGTTACGTCAGCAAGCAGAGGGCGTCGCAGTGGTCAAGCTGTCACACTGCAGCTGCCCCGAGGGGACACAGGACGGGAAAGCACAGGACGCTGGCCCTGGAGAGCTAGGCGCATATCACAGGGCCGATTTCAATGAGCCCTGACACTTGCATCTTCCCAGAGAAAAGCGCTAAACTCCTTAACTTGGGATGTCTGGTTTTCTTTCTCTAGCGTTAATCTTTGGATGCTCCCACCTGGTCTTTGCTGCAAGAGCTCTTCATCCCGGCCCCTCCCTAACCTCTGCGGAGCTGTCCCTCAGAGCCACCTGAGAGGCTGCGTCCCAGGCTCGAGTCCTCAGAGAGTCCGCCGGCTAAAACACAACTCTCGACGTTCAGGTTGTGCATCTTTCTCAGTCAACACGTACAAACCAGAGGCAGTCCTCACGGAGCTGCTGTGTGCACACCCGAGTGTGTGTGCATGCGCGCGTGTGGCACTCAGAGCGGGGCCAGCCTCCCAAGCTCTCAAACACCAGCCACTGCTACCCTGGAACCCGGAGTTGCACGGTTCACATTCGGAGTTCGAAGCAGTCCTGACAGATCTTTGTGGGAGGTGTCGTCCCTGCTTCACTCTGGGGAGCCGGGACACCTCTGCATTTCCTCTTATAAAATCCTGGTGTTTAGAAACATCTCAAAGAGACCAGAGAGGAGCAAAGCGACCCTGTCCCTGAGTCGTCAGGGCTCCCCTCCCCAGCACACATGGGCACACACACGCACGCACGCACACACACACAGAGCATCTCTGCTCCCCAGGGCCACCCCCTCTACCTGGCCGGACAACCAGTCTACCTCCAGCTCCGTACTGTTCACGCTTTCCCCTGCCTCTCCACAATTCCTTAGCCTCCACACCGCTGTCTATGCAGCCTTTTCCCCAAGTCCTTCCTTCTCGTTCCCAGCGACACTCCTGCAGGAACACCAGCCGCATTTCCCGCAGCATTCCCGCAGGCGCTCAGACCCGCCTTACAGTTCCCTTCTTCTGATGCCAGCTGGGTCACCAAAGCTGAAACCAGACCTTGCCTTTCCCTGTGGCATCCGCTGGGGTGATGACACTTTTCTAAGCCTGTTTCTTAATATAATAATAATACCACCTACCTGTAGGGCAGCTGTGTGTTAAGTGAGCTGACACCAGCCTCCTGGATTTTGTGATCGATCTGATACATTTTTACCTCCTGCTTTAAGAAGCAAGCCATTCTGAGAGGCTACTTCCCGTTTTTCTAGTTGGCGGCGATAATTAGAATGCTTTATATTCGCATGGAGCTTTGCCGTAAAAATTTTTCATGATTAGTCTCAGCATAGGAAATTCATCCAACTATTTAAAATGTAGAGAAAATATAAAATTACTACTCATCTTTTTCCTTAAACACAATAATTTTGTGTATTTTGATTTCTCTTTTCAGCATTTATGTATTATATAAGTTAAGATTATTAATGATAAGCATATGGATGGCTTGATACCTGATTTTTGGAAAGTAAAAATTCCATGCAAACTTTCCTTTGGATGACGATACACGGTACACCATGGCTCTGCCACGATTTATTTAACCGCCTTCTAATGTGGCGTGACCTCACTGCTCATCACTTTAGTTATTATGTATAATGTGTTGTCAAATAAGCATTTGTACCTTCATATCATACACTTTATCTTCCTACAAAGGCCACAAATTAGACAGAAGTAGAATAATCAACACCCTTTATTTTTCTGTTTTACTTTCATGCTGACATTTTGAAATCAGTCTGGATTTATCACACAGACCCGAACCCAGGCAGGAAGTGCTCTGGTGGCCTTAACTTTCCTTGAAGGCAGCCGGTCCCCTCGCCCTTTAGATACACCAACCCCACCCCCGACCCCTTCATGCTGAGCAGACAGGTCCCAGGCAGAGAAAGAAGGCTCATGTCTTAAAAACCAATTCCTACACTTTCCTTTAAAACCTAATTATGCACGCCTTTGTAATAACATTCCTGCAGCATATTTTGTGTGTTGTTGGCTTGATGTGGTTTCACTCCAGTTTAACTTTTCCGTATTACTTTTTAACTACAACAAAACCTTCTGCTAAAATGAATTTTTATTCCTCTTCTATCTAAAATGTATCTTTTAAATTTAAACAAAGCCCCCAAATTGTAAAAATATCCTCAAAGTTAAACTGGATTTTATTTTTATAGACTTACACTTAACATTTAGTGATATTTATGAAATAGATCTGTTAAATATCCAATTGCTCAGAACTCATGTTCCTTTCTATTTTTTCATCCTTATTTTGGTATACTGGAGACTAAGTATGAAAGACTGACAGATCAATAATAATGAAGAAAATCAGTAAAACGAAATTTGGAGGGGACACAGATCCAGGTCCTAGGTGGCTGAGCTGTTTCTCTATTCAGTAGGTAGCATCAATAGTGTAAAAATCAGCAGATCATACTTGGAAACACGTTATATTTTGATAAAAGTTTCTTATCTATCTTATCTCATTTTATGATTTTTTTATTTCCCATTTATCTCACCATTATGGATATTTTAATGTTCTGGCTAAATGGAAAATGTCATATGTAGTATATATAAAAATTGAAAACCAGTTGTCAAAGAATGAGAGTTTGAATACACAGTAAAAATATACTGACTATAAATTGGACAAAAAGCAGATCACCAAATAACCTGTCATACATTTAGATATTTATTTCCTTAATTACAATTTATATTTCATATTAATCTGTACAACATAGGGGGAATTTTTTCCCTCTTTTAAAGCTGGTGTTAAATTAATGGTTGATGTTGCAATCAAGAACCTCTTAGAATCGAGAGATAAGACAAATCATGAAATGCTTAAAGTTGTTATTCCTGCGTAGTAGGACTACACATAATTTTCCATTTTCTTCTCTCTGCTGGTTTGTATTTTCTATGGTGAACACATCTTTGTATAGTAAGAAAAAAAACAAAAGAAAATATAAACTCTATGAATGTAATTTCTCCTCTTTCTTTTGTGGTGTTAAAAACAACAGGCCCAAAATGGAGTCGTGCATGCTAAGCCCCCTGTCACAAAACTGAGACTTAATTACAGGTTCAGCCCTCCTGGAAATGGAGTCTTAAACCAGTCAATCAGGAATCGCTTGACCAGGACTGGTGAGGTCATCTGCCTGGCGGGCCCCTGCCGTACCCTAAAGGAAAGTGACCTTTCCGATAACCAAGTCGTTTTTTGCCAAGTATGACTTCCTTGTTCTGCTCCCTTCTGCCAATAAGAGTCTATCACTGCATCCAGCTCCTCGGAGCTCCCTTCTCTCTGCTGGATGGGATGCTGCTCAATTCATGAATTGCTGAAAAAACCAAGATCTTTAAAATGTACTCAGTTGAATCTCTTTTTTATCAGTGGGGAAAAGAGAATTTAAAATCAGTGTGTCCTGGCCATCTGTTCTTAAATATGGAGTTTTTAGAGAGCAGCAGAAGTTGTGCAGGTGCTGGGGCGGCAGAGGGGGGATGCACAGGGAGGGGCGTGGCCTGGCCTTAGGGGTCTGAAGTCAACACAAGCACTTCATGAAATCTCTAAGTGCATGATGTCCTCGGAGACAGGCAAGATGAGGGCGAGCAGTCAGGGTACACTTTATGGGAAAATAGGCAGCTTTTCATGGAAGTGATAAATTAGTATTTTCTTAATATTAGAAAAAGCCTCCAAAATGTAATGACTTGAGTCGATTAGCTGGCTACTCCATTAAAAGCAAAAACTTTTTACTGTAGAATGGATCGCCCAACCCAAAAGACTGTTATAGCACATTTTGCTGTTATCAACCCAGCAGTAAGAACAAGATTCAAATAACATTTCTCAAGAAACAGACAGCAACAAACAACCCAGAGAAAACATGTAATAAAATAGCATTAACCTGTAACACAAGTACTAATCGATCTTTTGACCTCAGAATTATTTTTTTAAAAACTGATCTGATGGTTTTTTTCCTTTTCGACTGGATTTGGTAAACGCCCTGCATGGAGCCTGGCAGGAGGATGTTTAGACGTACGGTGCCCATTAGCACATATGCGTCATTCCATCAATATTAACATTATTACGCAGCTGGCCCGAGCGTGAGGGCATTACTCGGGACTGTGTCTCTGGCGTATATCCTGCTCTAGAAATTAGTAAAATATTAATGCATTTCCTTTTGAAAGCTCGCAGCAGAGATCTGTACTTTTGAACCACCAGCCGTGACAGGTCATCCTGTGTGAACATACTTCCCCGGAGCGATCAGGCTCGCCAGTCATCTGCCTTTTACCCCAGGCCATCCGGAAAGCCCACGAGCGAGGAAAACTCAAGGGCACTGTGTTTTTCCCCACTTCCAGTGTTGATCTTATAATTTCTTTTCCTTGCCTTTTTTTTTAAAGTTTTTTCCCCAGTGTCAAAAACTCAGTGTAAATTCCTGATTCCCACTGAGAGAGGGCAAGATGAACGAGGGTGCCCTGGGTTCCCAGTGTCCCTGTGGGTTCCTGCTGTAGCTTTGGGGACGTCAGGGGCTTTGCTGCTGGTGGGAGCCAGCCGCCCATGCCACCTGGGTCCCCGTCTGGGGTCTGAGTCCACAGTGCCAGAGAGCTCTCTCCGAGGGCTGGGACACCCCTCTGCACCACTGGAGGCAAGTCTGTGCAGACACGGGAGGGAAGATGGCAGGGAGAAGCAAGGAAGGGAGAAACTAGAGCCTTACCTGTCCCGCTTCTGCCTCCAGCCCAACCAGAGGGGACAGCAGACGGCAACCACCCCGGGGGTTCACCAACGTGTGAGCAGCTGTCGGCCAGTTGGACTATAAATAAGGTGCGTCCAGAGCATGGGAGATAAGAACCCAGGCCCTTGCTCCTGCAGGCCTTTTAAGGTATGCAAATTAAAGGCGTTCAGCCGTTCAGCCCCCGGATGGGAAGGGGCTGCCAGCTCCCCATCTGGCTGGCCTGCCTCAAGGACATCCTGGGCCTGGCCTGGAGCATTTTTTCCAGTGACGGAGGAGGAGCAGCGGAAGGAGGGGAGAGCAGGGCGCCAGGAAGTGTCAGGCAGAGCCCTGAGGTTAGATGCTGGTCATGGAGACGCAGAAGCCGGAGGAAACTTTCCAGGACAAACAGCACCTCTGTGGCTGGAGTGGATTTTCAGCTGACATCCCCCCTCACCCCCTCTTGGCTTCAGGAGCTTTTGTTTGGGTGAAGATTCTGGGGAGACCAGGGGATCTGCAAGCTAGGGTTGGGGGTACTTACAGAACATCCTCTCTCGCCACCCTCCCTGCTCCCGCCTGGCAATGAGGGTTTCTACAGCCTCAAGTCAGTTCCTCTAAAGAAAATGAGGTCTTACTGGAGCCGTTAAAACCTGCGTGCAAGACGGGGCAAGGGCTCCTGGTCGGCCTTAGATTCCTCACTTACCACACTTCTTTCGAAAGGCGTCTCCTCCCAGGGCCCCCCATCTGTGTAATCGCGGCAATTCCAGGTCTGGGAATGGATTCTAAGGAGAGAGTCGTGGATGTGGGCAGAGATGCAGCTGCGGGGACATTTCTTGCTGCTCTCTGCATCATTGGGAGAAGCTAGACACAACCTGAATGGCGAACCACAGAGGGCTGGTTAAAGAGGAAAAGTATGTCCATAAAGGAAATGCCCTGACACCTTCGGAAACGACACAGAAGAGGGTTTAATGATATAGAAACAGTATCATGATAACTGGGGACAAGAACGCCCCTACTTTAAGGGGAAGATGGGGGACTGGTAGTAAGTTACTGCACAGTCATATGTGCACCAAATGCGAAAATGTGGTTACGTCTGGATGACAGAATTATAGCTGATGTCATTTTCTTCTTTGGCTTATACACAAGCTCTTAATCATCTTGTATTGCTTTTGTATCAAGAAACTTCATTTCATGTAAAATCTACGTTTCTGAGGATCAGAGCCCTCCGTGTCTCTGCACTAAGGAACCCACATTTATTCCAGGATGACAGAACTCCCTGGGGTCTCCCTGGCCTGTGGGGAGGCTCAGACAGCGGTCAGCAGCCTTTCTTCACAGCAGTATCAGCACGTGATGTGGCAAGGCCAGCAGAGCCCCCAGGAGCCCCAGCCAAGGAGAAGGTGAGTCAAGAGGACAGAGAGGAAAGAACAAGAGAGCAAAGCACACTAGGAGAAAGAGGGCTGAGAAGGTGAGAGTGTAGGTGATGGGGTGACGGAAAACCCCCGCTCGCCCCTGTCGGACCTAACACGTCCCACCCCCACTTCTGCTCTGACCAGGACGTGACCGAGGCCGCTCTGTCCTTCTATGTGTAGGACTTGTATGTTCTGATGACTTCCTTTTTCATTGATTTTGACTGAAGTAGTCGAACCTGTATGGCAGAGCACATCTCAATGACAGGTGTGCCTGGGAGGGGCTCCCGGGGTCAGGGGTACAGAGGGGCCCCATCCTCTGACGGCCTTCCTCCAGCTGCAGAAGCCAGAGTGGGGCCGCCCCCTCTGTGGACAGGCCCTGGTCTATGGCAGAGAGCGGGTAGTTTCAAAGCACTTGTGTTGAGCTGCTGTCACGGGAGGAGAGTGCCCTATAACAGACTCCCCCCACCGCCTCAGGGCCAGAGCCTGGAGGCTGTGGCGAGCAACCTTCCGAACTGCTCTTTGGAGCTTTCTGGGCCCAAGCCCCACTCGGACGGTCCCCCTGTCGTCTACCTGACAGCCTGCCTCAGACTTCAGTGCTTCCTCGTGGGGTGGGGGGGCCTGGTGGGAAGGGGCAACTCCAGCCTCAGGCTGGTTTCCCAAACAAGGGGAGAGATCAGCGCAGGGACGGGCTGAAGTGGGGCTCCTCTTGGAGGGACCCAGGGCCACGCAACGGGTGACCTCTGTAAGGGCTGGTTTCACGGCCCTTCTGAGCTCCAGGGGCAGCGCTGGGAAGAATCTGGTGTGACATTTGCCCATCCACTCCGACTTACTCCCCTCCAGGGGGACACATGTGCACACACAGTCCTGGAGGTGGGGGGGAGGTGACAGACTGCTGCCCACCTCCACCCTGGAGCAGACCCGTGTCAGGGCTGTGGCCCGGGATCTTGGGGTGTGGCCAGGACTGGGGGTGCCGCGTGTGGGTGGGCACTCCCTCTCTTCCACAAGGTCACAGAGGCAAGGCCAACCAGGATATCTTGGTCCCCTGTTCAAAGCTCGGAGACCAAAACCAAAGGCCATCCAGGCCTGGGACATTCTGATTCTACCCAGCAGTCATGTGCTGAGCCCCCACCAGGAACCAGAAAAGGTGGGCATGAAGACAGAGAGGTGATGGAGACCCCCGTCCCAGGACCTTCAGGGCTCTGCCCCCGGCCACCACCACGGCCAGCATCTCGGCTGTCCGGCCCACCCTCTTAAGCCCTTTGCCACGAGGTCCTGAAATCCCCGTTAAGCCAGCTGTACTATTTGCTCTTTTTTTTTCCCCAATAAACACTCATCGTGCTTCGTCCATGTGTCAGGCACAGGGCAGATCCAAGAGCCTTGGCCCTGAACAAAATAAATGACTCTCCCGTGTGCTGTGGTCACAGCTGGAACCTCTCACCTTGAACCTGGAACATCTTTCTCCCCGCTCACTGTCGATGCCGTTTGCCACTGTGCCGCCACTGTCACCTTTCTGCGGGGTCACTGTCCCTGGTGCTCCCCGCTCTGGGGTGGGCAGCCCTCGTCTTTCTGTGGACCTGGTCCCTCTGCCCCTCCCACCTATCAGGGCTGAGCCTCCCCCAGCCACCTGACTGCAGCCCGGCCCTCCCTCTGAGTTTGGGTGTCACCAGAGCCCACCCCGCCTTTCTGGGGACAGCCTTGCCCCCGCCCTCCTGAGTGGGAAGGTGAGGGGACTAATGCACTTGGCCCTAGCGGGAGGGGACTAGTCTCTTCCACCCTCGTGGGCATAGCAGAGTCCCTGACAGATGAGCTGACCAGACGGGGAAGGACCAGCAGGGGCAGGAGGAGGGGCACCTGGTGAGGAGCGAGAGCCCGCAGAGAGCAGCTTCATGCCAGAGACACAAGGAATGGGGTCAACTCTTGCAGACTGAGGGGGCGAGGAGGAAGGGGGCCCTGCTCTTCCACACCAGGAAGTCCTGGTGCAGCCAGCGTGTCGGGGCGCACAGGGCAGAGGTTCACGAAGTGGGGCGTCCGCTGACTGTCCATCCCCAGAGCCGGAAGGCCAGGCCCGGCATTTGCTGCTGTGTCCTGGTTTTCGTGGTCTGCTCTGTGTGCTAGGACCAAAATCTCTCCATAAACATTCCTTCCGCGCTTCCCAGAACAATAAACAGGCGAGCAGGGCTGCATAAACGTCCCACAGTGTAAAGACGGCTGTGAGCAGCTCTGCAAAGTTTCAGCCTGGAAAACAGCATCACCATTTGTGGCTGAGACAGAACCCAGGCGCCCGTCCCGTGAACTCGCTGGGGTGTTGAAATGAACCACGTTCCCGAGTTAGAGCGCTAACTCGGGTCCTGTGAGCCACCACACTTGCAGGAAGAAAGCACGTGTGTACGCCCAGGACTGGACTAAGCTCTCCTCACTTAAAAGCCCCGGGATCCGACACGTGCCTCTGCTTCAAGTCACATGCCAAAGACAACCAAAAAACGCCACACAGGACAGAAGGCGTCACTCCTCCCCTCCACACACTGTGTGCTCTGCTGCTCTTGACCCCGATTCCCTGTCACAGTGCTGATAACACGCGGCGATCCTCTGCCTAAGGTTAGCCCCTGCTGTCGCTCTCAGCTACTGGCTGGGTTTGGCCAGAGGAAGGGACCAGCAGGGAGCAGAGACAGGAGAGAGGGGTCAGGTCCACAGTGCTCCCTCCTCCCTGCGGTCCGCTCTGCACCTCTGGGGAAGTCCTCTCTGGTCTGGTGACAGCTCCTTCTGGACCCTGAGGGCTGCAAGTGGGATGACTTCCACGGTCCCCAGCTCCGGGGTCCTGCATTCTCCCTTACTGATTTCTCCAAGTGCCCATACCTTTGGAGAGAGTGCCTTTGTTAAAACTCTCCTCCAGGTACCTGGGTGGGGAGCGGCGTCTCTCCTGCCCAGACCCAGACGGATGCAGAGGAGGAAGATGGAGTATCTCTAGGAGCAGTTAGAGAGTGGGTCCCTTGCCCCCCAGCCCTCACCCCACGGGGCTGTGAATGAAAGGGAGGGGTGGGGATGTGGCCGGGAGACTGTGTCCAGTGACGGGATTGCCTCGCCCCTTGTATGGGGCGGCACTGGCTTCCGGATTCTAGAACAGCAAATGTCAGGAGGGAACCCAGTACTGGCTGGGGGAGACTTTCCTACTATGCTGGGGGAGTGGGCCCCCACGGTCCTCATTAAATTGTTTTTAAGGGAAGCAGTATTTCCTGCACAGCCGTGTTTTCAGATGGGGATGCACGCTGCTCTAACAGCCAGTCCCCCGCCACTCATGGGGCTCCCACGACACGCAAGGCCCTGTTCTGGGGCCCGGCCGGCACGCCGCACCCCGCACCCACCAGCTGCACCGTCCTACTTAAGAGGCCAAGCCATCGGTCCCTCCCCTGGATGGGAAGCTGGAGAGGAAGCTCGGGCAGTGCGGGGAACGGCTGACGTTAGAACCCCGCGGTCCCGCCTCCCCAGAGGTGGGCGAGGGGACCTCCAGGCTGCAGGAGCGGAGGACCCAGCTGGTGCCCAAAGAAAGAGGGGCGTCCACCAGCAGGAGGCCCTGGTTCTCAGCCATCTGAGTGGGCTGACATCCTGGAGCCAGACTAAAGAAAGATGGGAAAGACTGCGGGAGAAGCTCACCCCGAACTGGAACGCCCGGAGCAAGAGAGGAAACACCGACTGTCTCCTGCTGGCCACGCTGTCAGGTGTGAGGCGCCCCTCACTCCTTCCCCGGGGAATAAAGTGTTTACTGACTCTGCTCTGATGACCCCTCTCTCAACGGAAGTCCTTCCAGCTACCTGCTCTAGGCCGGCCTGCCTGGCTCAGAGCCCAGCCTAGCGGCACCTTATTGCAAAAGGCCAAAGTGTCCCACTGATTGTAAGCAAGAGTTCTGTGAGTCACTCAAGGCACAGCTCCGTGACTCATCCTGCACCTGCAAAGGTACCTTCAAGTGTCCTAGACACCCAGATGTACGGGTACAGCTTGGGAGGAGAACCACAAGGTAAATATTTTTAAATGTTCATATTTTTCATTATGGTAGAATATATAGACATACAATTTACCATTTACCCATGTCAAGTGGACAGTTTGGTGGCATTAAGGACAGTCACACTGTGTGCAGCAGTTACCACCATCCATGCCAGAACTTTCCAACCGGAAACTCTGCACCAATTAAATGTTAACTTCCCCTCCTCCCCCGGCCCCTGGCAACCACCATTCTACTCTGTCTCTACAGTTTTGATCACCTTAGTTTCCTCACATGAGTGGAATCACACAGGATGGGTCCTTTTGTGACTAAAGGGAACAAAACTGTTTTTCCTTCATGCTCTCACACTTCACTTCTGACACCAGACCTGTGTTTCTCCTCCATCAACCAACTCTCCACTTCTCTGTGGACGCTGAGTGTCCGACAACTCCCTTCGGTTCTGACACTGTCTAGCTGGCTTGGCATCAGACCCCACAGGTGGAGGGCTCAGTCCCACAAGGCTGCCCCCACCTCGGACCCCAACCGCGAGTCTGGGCCCCCTTCTGACTTCTGACCAACCGGTTCTGATCAGTGGTTCCCACGACCCTCTCCTTGGAGGCTGTACTTTGCTAGAACGGCTCAGAGAACTCAAGAAAAACATTTATGCCTGCATCATACAAGGGCTGCAGCTCAGGACCAGCCAGACAGAGAGCTGTCCGGGCCAGGGCCTAGGGAGGGGCAGGTGCACCGCCTCCCAGCACCTCCCGGCTCTCCCAGCACCCATCCTTTGGGCGTTTTATGGAGGCCTCATCACATACGCGATTGAGTAAATCACTAGAAAAAGTCAATCTCCACTCTCTCCTGCCCTGAGGTCGGGAGTGGGGCTGAAGGTTCCAGCCCTCTAATCGCTAGGTTGGTTCCCTTGGCAACCAGCCCCCCCATTCTGGGGGGCTTTCCAAAAAGTCACCTCATTAACATAAACTCAGGTGTGGCTGAAAGTGCCTTGTCACGAGTAACAGGACCCGCCTCTCACCTTTACCCTCTGGAGCTATTTCAGGACCTGGGACAAAACCCAAGTATTAGAACAAAAGATAAGCTCTTTGTTCTCCTCACTGAGGAGACACAGGGGTTTCTGGCGATCAAGCTGGGGACAGCACACGTGACTGGACACCTCACCCGGGCTTACTTCAGGTAGTGCTCTGTCTCCAAGGCTCACCCACGCTACAGTTTGTGCCAGAATTTCCTTCCTTTAAGGCTGAATCATGCTCCATTGTATGCATATCCTGTTAGAAAGAAACCACTGGCCCCAAATGGACTCATTTGCCCCCAGGATGGCAACTGAGCCTTAACTGTAGTTTCAACCTCTCCCCAGAACTGGACCTTTAGATAGATAATCTGAAGTTTCCTGGTCAGCACTGGTGAGGTCGCCTGCAAAGTAAGACCTCTGCCCTCCCCCCAAGGGAAGGTGACCCTGCCTGAGACAGCCCTTTTCTTCTCTTCTGCTTCTTGCCCCCACCCCCCTTCCACCTATAAAAACCTTCCCTTTTTTTCACTCCTCTGAGGGTCCACTGGATAAAGCCAACTCCATCTTCCAATGACCTCCCTTGAAGCTTGTTTTCTAATATCCCTCTATCGGTTGAGGGACACTTGGGTGGCACAGGTAAATATCTGCTTTCTTCATTAGGTCACCTTGAACTCTTTAGAATAAATATATACAAGCATAGTTTAAGAATTAGAACAGCTTGGCCCGTGTGACTCAGTTAGGAGACACATCATGAGAGTGAGTGTTTCATGAATGTTTCCCTGCCTCAAAGTCGCCAGCACCAGTTTGGGAATCTAAGCTGCTTTGTTCAAAGAGACCCCTTGAGAGGCCCTATGGGAAGCCCCAGCCAGAGCAATCAGGCAAGAAAAAGAAAAAGCATCCAAATTGGAAGGAAGAAGTAAAACTGTCTCTGTTTGCAAATGACATGATCTTATGTACAGAAAACCAAAAAACTATTAGAACTAATAAGCAAATTCGGCAAAGTTGCAGAACATAAAATCAATAGGCAAAAGTGAGTTGAGTTTTCCATTTCATTTTGATCCCCCAGCTTCTGACAACTATCATCAGGGCCGTTCACCCTCTTCCTATATTTTTCTTTGTTTCCAACTAGAGTGCAGCACCATGGGCGAGAGACACGAGGGGCAGGGAGCCGCCAAGCACCAGGAAAAGGCTCTCAAAACTTTCAGGAAACAAATGCCAACAATGAACCATTAACATGAATGATTTTCCCCTGAATCAGTGAGCGAATCCCAGCGCTCTCCAGCCTTTGCCTTTCCTGTTCTTTCCGATGACTGCTTCAGAGGACAGAGGTTTGGCTGTTGGCTGAACCATAAAGGTGAGATTAGAGCACAAGAATGATCTTTGGGTTATCAAGTCAAAACCACCTGGGGATTGCCCTGGGCCCCAGGTCACACAGTAAAATTCCTTTCTTAAGATTGGAATGGTTGTGCTAGAAGTTACCCTTTAAAGTCAGCTTTGGGCCGTTTTGGGGTGGGAGTGAAAGTCATGTTGGGTTCAGGGATATGTGGGCGTAAACAGAAAAGTTCTACATGATGTGTGTTTGTGCC